TCTAAGCTTCTCGCAGGGGACCTAGAGTCTGCAGGTTTCAGACCTGGGACCTGGCAGACTGCGTGCCACTCACCTGTGCGTTCACTCGGAGTTAAGGCACACAGGAACACAAGAGCTCGGGGACTCCAAACCGAGCTGCAAGAAGGGGGAAGGCGCCCGCATAGGTCAGCCCTTTCCACGCGGCTTCCTCCCTGCCCCACAGCTGCCCCACAGTGTAGCATTACTGGGAGGGAAATGGCCTGAACTCCGAGAAGAAAAGAGGATGGAAAAAGTGACATACTACAGAGGGCTTCCTCAAACCACTGATTAGCTGGAGCAGCTCCTGCGCCAGCCAGCTCCACCAAAGTGCCAGGGGGCTCGGCAGGGCTAACAGCGCGCTGAGCAGTGAACTCAGAGAACCCCAAGGCAGGACTCGCCCTCAGCCACCATGGCAGAACCCCCACACCCTCGGGACAAAGGGCCAGACAGTTGGGGGAGAGGGGCGGCACAGGACTCAACGAGAGAGGGAGAGAGATGAACCGGCAGCTTGTGGGCGAGGCCAGCGCCCTTGCCCGTGGCCCCACCACGTGGCTCCGCCAGGGCCACAGAGCAGAGAGGTATGTACTGAGGTTGGGGAGAGCCGAGGGAGGCTCAGGAACGCAGGCCAAGGATACCCAGCCCAGTTTAATGACCCTTTCTTCCATCAGGGACTCACCAAAGACTGAAGCCCTGGCCCCACGCTGCTGTTGGCTCAAATATTAGAGTCTGAACTAGCCACTCTCCTTCACAGAAGCTGCCCTTGGCTTAAACACACACACACAACCCACCCAAACCCGCCTCACCCCAAAATATGAAATCCTCCAAAACTTTTAACAACTAAGACTGTTACAGCCTAGCAGAGACACTGCCTCCCTTTGTGAACCATACGTGTTCCTGAAAAGTCCTCTACGGACCAAACTCCTGACGAACAAATCCGATTTCTCCACCGGCTCTTGTAAAATGTTACACATACTCCTCTAGGAAAAGCTGAGGCTCCCCGAGGAACTGAACTTCACACTTAGTGTTGCAAACCCTCTGGAGTCACACCTTTAATGGACAAATGTCCTGGCAAAACCTAATTCAAATTCAACCCGAAGGGAGGTCATTCTTAAGTGTACACACCACGCTGGAGAGTGTTCACATGAACTAAAAGTTACTTAAGGTCAGTCTTTAAATACTGTGCAAGATCTGGGCCCACGCTTTGTACTGTTGCAACAGGAAGGCTCTGTCCCTTGAGTTTCTAAGCAAGGAGGGATGCTGAGGGTAGACTCCTAGAACCTTCAGTGCGGTCACCTGGGAGCTTGTTAAGATGCAGACTGAGGGGCTTCCCTGTGGTCCATGGCTAAGACTCCATGCTCCCAACCCGGGGGCCTGGGTTCCATCCCTGGGCAGGGAACGAGATCCCACATGATGCAACTAAGGGTTCGCTTGCTGCAAATGAAAGGCCCCACACACCACAATGAGGGTCGAAGAATGGCCACAACTGAGACCTTGGTCCAAGCGAATATAAATAAATTTTTTAAAAAATGCACATTGGGACTCCGATTCATGCCCCCAGAGAATGCTAATGCCACTTCTCTGTGAACCTTGTTTTGAGTGGCAAAGTTGTAGATAACCTAAGCCCCCACAGAGCTCACAGGGTTTGAGCTGCGGCCTTTCCAGGCAGGTCAGTTTCCTACGTGGAGGTGGATGCCCAAACCCAGAACTCCTGGAGAAAAACCCTGCCATCAAAACTCAGAAAACTGCCACAAAGAACAGAGAGCTCAGAGACAGGGAAGGAAGACCTATCAGGTGTCTAAGCTGGGTCACAGTAGGGCAGGCAACACCAACCCAGGGAAGTGGGGAAAGGACACAAACACCTCCCCCCAACACACAGCCCAGCAAGAAAAGGGGCTGCTTACCTCCGCCAATGGTCACTCTGCCCTGTACCCAAAAGTTTCACCCACTTTTTAATAAACCTAGATAAGGATCTATTATAAATAAGATATGGCAATGAATTCTACAGTAAGTAAATCCCTTCAGTAAGTTAAAAACCCAAGGGGGGCAAAAATATGGAAGATGGACTAAGGGTCCAGAGGTTCTCCAAGCATCCACCTTCTAGCAGGAGAGATGGGGGGACAGCTTCGGGGAGGAAGTGGAGGTGGGGATGGGCACATACCAGATGGGCCAGAGAGGAGAGCAAGGTCTGCAAACCCCTGGGTGTTTTTGGGGATGGGAAAGAGACTAGCTGGGCTGGAACAGAGGGCTCCGGTGAGTGGAAAATGTTTATTGTTGGGGGTGACTGTAAAGCTGGAAAGGTATGCTGGCAGCACACCACAGGAGAGGGAAGCACAAGAAAGGGGCCCTTTATATACTTCATTACACTTAATCCTCAGCACAACTCCAGGAAGTAAGTCCCTTCAGAGAGGAGGCAAACTGTGAGGTCAAGAAGCCTGCCAGGGCCACAGGGCCTGTCAAAGGATCCGAGTTGCCGTTCTGCCAAACACTTCATCCCCACGGCCTGGGCCCTCTCTACCACTCAACCCTGCTCTGAATGCCAGGAGTCTGACTAGATCCTTTGGCAATCAATGCAGAGATTACCCGTGCCCGCCCGCCATACATCCCAACATCTGAGAAAAGCCCGTCACTGACAAATGGCCTGAATTACAGGCTGCATAATCTCAGGACGTAACAACTCAATCTCTCCAAAGAAACAAGAGCCTGGAGGAAAGAACCCAGAGACCAGGGTGGGAACAGGGATGGGTAATGACCGCAACCGACCATTCCGATGGTGGGGAGAAGAATCCCAGGTTTCAAACATCAAGTCCTTTCCTCCTCCTCCTCCACCATATTTATCACAATGGGGATCTCAAAGTTCGCAAAGTCCCTCAGCCTTTACAGCATAATTACCCAAACTTCAAAATGGCCTAATCCACAAACCTAGCCAACCTAGGTCCCTTATTCTTACTTTATTAACAGTGAGGTCTCACTACCTCTCCAACTAATTACACAATTTAACAATGAGATGGAAAAACTTACTGTAATCTATTTAAAAAAAAAAAAAATGTTGCCCCCTGAAGTCATGCTGTCCAGGGGCAGGTTGAGCCCTCTGGGTTTCACCAGCAGACAGACAGCAGGCGCCCCGGCCTCGGCCGAAACTGTTTACAGCACACGGGCAGGTTCCACACCAAGACACATTTGGTGGAACTGATTTAAGGCTCTCATTAAAATGTTCCTTTGTTGAGCACAAGACATCTCCCCACCCCCAGAGGAGATTCCAGACCTCCAGTCCCCAGCCGGCAGCCTGCCCTAACTCCCCCCACCAGGACCCCTCCCTCCGCTAAACACCCGTCACCGGATTAACATTGATTAACATCAGGGTTGTCTTCTCACGGAAGGAATTTAGCATTTGTTGAATGTGAGCCCTGTCTCCACCAGAATCTCCCCCAGAACTCTAGAAACTTCAGCAGTGGAGGCAGCCCTATCCAGCACCCCACACACCAAAACCCCAACAGCCTAGGAAGACCTAGGAAGCCTGTGAGCTCCGGCTGCCAGCCCATATGGCTGGGCAGCCCCCCACTCCCATCCTGGCTGTGCAAAAAACTTCCCTACTTCCTCTGGGAGCAGATGTGGGTTCTGCCATGAGCATGACCACCCCACACGGCAGAAGGACCATAGGGCAGCTCAAGGAACACCTCCTACTAACTCAGGGAACTTGTTCTTACCTCTCCTTTTACAACCCGGGGTAGGGGAGATGTTAACATCAACACTAAACCCCCTCAACAGCTGGCAGGCCAGGGAGACCTCAGCAAAGGCAATTCTCTACCCACTCACCCCCGCCTCCAGCCTCCCAGGAAAGTGATAAGCTAAGACCAGGTCTCCTGGGCACAGCCTCCCCAGAGAGGGCTGCTGAGAGGATCATCGCCAAGGATTTTGGGTTTTGTAAGGGTGGGGGACCGGAGGGGGCAGGGAGGCATACTTCCATTCCAGAGCGTTTGGGGGTGTGCGGGCAGCTTGGCGCTTTCCTCCGAAGCACTTCAACACCTCAGTGATGACTCTCAGGTGTGACCAAGTCAGGAAATAAAGGCGGGGGTGGGGACGGGGGAGAAGAGGGTCGGGTCCAGTCGGCCCTAGAGATAGGGGCCACACCCTCATCAAAAGCCTGAGGCCCTCCAAGAAGCCAGAAGGAACTCTTTTTTTTTTTTTTTGCCTTTCTGCCTGTAGAAAGAGTTTCTTTCCTTGCTGGGGAGAGAGAGAATGAGAATTGAGGAAGGAGACAGAACCAACCCCGTCCGCACCTTTGCAGGCCGGCCATGCCCGATTTTGGCAGCGGCCTTCACACATTAGTCACCGCGACAGCCCGGGACTCTCAGCTCCCAGATCCGACTCCAGCCAGGAGTGGGCTCAGGGCTCGGGCCCGGGAGCTGGAGATGGGACGGCCCCTCACTCTTCCCTTCTTCCGCCCTCACCATCGGGGCGGTCCGGGACCCAGCCTGGCCCAGGAACTTAGAGGAAGGAAGCCGGGAGCGTCGAGCCGGCGTAGGTAACAAAGCTCCGTGCGCTCCGCGCACCGCAGGTCGGTCCCGCATCCGGCCCCGGGCCGGCCTCCCTCACCTAGGCTCAGCCTGCCGGGGAGACCCCGTCTCCCCCACCGCCAGCCACCGCGCTGCACCCCCTAAGTGGGAGGTAGTCGTTTCTCCCCCGCAGAGAAACGCGACACTGGAGCCCGGGAGTCGGCAATTCCCGGCAGTTCCCGAGCAAACTCTCGGCTCAGGCCGGGAAAACTCTGGGGAGGCTGGAAACGCGTCCTCGCGGGCGCGGGGCGAGAGGGGCCCCGGCCGACTGCGCGGGGGCTTCGCCACCTCCCGGCGGCCAGGACCTCGCCCCCCCAACCCCAGCGAGCCCCTGACCCACGCACGGTGTCTGCTCCGCCCCAGCCCACCTCCCCGGTGCCCTCTTCGGCCCTCGGGGCTCCCGCGCTCCCCCAGCTCGCCGGGACTCACCGCCCAGCAGCGGCAGCAGCAGGACGCTGAGCAGAGGCAGCCGGCAGGGGCTGCTCGGGGCTCCGCGCGCGGCTCCCATCGCGGCGGGCTCGGGGAAGGGAGCGCGCGGGCGCACGGCGGGCTCGCGGTCAGCGATCCCCGGCGGGCCCAGGAGGCCGAGCGCACCGGAGCGCGGGCGCAGCTGCAGCAGCCGCAGCCGCAGCCGGAGCCGGAGCCGGAGCCCGAGCCGGAGGCGTCCCGAGCTAGAGCCGCGCGCGCCCCGTATCTCAGAGTCCTAACGCGCCGCCGCCGCCGCCAAGCCCCGCCCCGCGACGCCCCCTCCTCTCCTGGGCGCCGCGCGGCGCCCCGCCCCCTCGACGCCCCCTCCCCGCCGTGGTGGGGAGGAGCTCGTAGTTGGGGGAGGGGTCTGGAGATGGAAAGTGGATGGAGTGGAGGAGGCGCGGGGGAGTGTGGGGACCTGATCGAGGTCGGGGAGCGGATGCTGCGCCTACCACCTCGTGTGCAGGGGACTCAAGGGACCTAAAGGGACTTTTGTGATTCCGTGGCTCCTGGGGAAGACGGTTGGTTCTAGGCTTTCCTGAGGGCTCTGGCCAATAGTTCCCCCAAATTCTCTGGTGGGAGGGGAATGGGTGGGCTCTGGCTCACTTTGCAGCAACCTGATATCTGAAGGAAGATCTAGAACCGAATGGTGTCCTTGGTATCCCCAGGCAAGGTAACCCGGAGCTACCGTGGAGCCCCAGGAGAGAGGCAGCCTGGGGTCCAGTGCATGGCGAGTGTCTGGTTTGGCTCTGGACCAATCGGAACCCAAAGGTAGAGAGAGACGGGGCTCTCTGAACGGCGGACTGAAGGCTGTTGAACTAACAAATTCATCCCAAGTCCATCTCCAGCGGTCTGGGCCGTGTCAGGGCATGGCCAAGTCTCCAGCTGTGGGGAGGCCCAGTACCGCCCTTGTTCCAGGCACCCCCACCCCCCAGCGCCACCACCCCCACATTCTTTCTTTGTTGTGAAAGCAGCAAGGGGTGTAGGAGGCGGGTCAGGAGGAGTCAAGCTTTAGAAGATGGGCCCCAGCTGCTGCTGGGCCTCCAGGATCTGCTGAGAGGGGATGGATAGTAAGTGCCTCATCCCCCTCTGGCTCAGGAGGGCCCCCCAGGCCTTCTTAGACCTCCCTTCCCCCAAGCAGCTGGGAGGAGGAGGGGCCGCCACAGAGGGCCTCACAGGCCGGGAGCAGTGGCGCCAGGACTCCAGGGTCCTGCCACATGGCCGCCACATGTCCCTGACAAGCCAGTCCACAGCACCTTCTCCTTGGGTTGTGGGCCTCCCCCTTCCCCCAGATGCCTTCCTGTAGGCCCTGCTGGAGAGGATACAAACAGGGAAAGGAAGAGAGGAGAGACCCAAGAAGCAACATTCCTCCTGCTGCCCCATCCATCACTACCCTGCACCCTTCTGTGAAGGGCCCCGACGCAATCCTTGCTTCCTGCCCTCTCCATCAGGACTCAAGTGGCTCAATGGTTACCTGATTCTTTTATTTAAGAAAAGTGAAATACATGGACCTGAAGTGAGGCAGCAGAGGGAACAAGACAGGCCAGGGCAAGGCAGGTTGGCTGGCCAGCCCCAAGCCCTCTGACAGAAAAGCCAGCAGCAGGCTGCATCTCGGAGGTGCGTACCTGCTTCTTACCCACTTTGGGGGCCCTAGTAGTAGAGCTAGCTACTCTAGAGGACCACAGGGTGGGGGGAGGATGTCCTGAGGGCCCTTCCTGAAGGGGATTCCTGAGGAGGGGGCTGAGACCCTAAGGGCAGCAGCAATCTTCGGGTTAACTGCTCCCCCTTCACTGTCCCACCTTGGGGCTGGAAGAGCCAGGAGCAACAGGGAATGCTGTGAGGGCTGCGGGGGGCCCAGCAGACGTGGGGTGTGAGCTGAATGTCAGCTGCTTGAGGAGAGGTCCATGCTGCTGGCACTGAGACCCCGGGAGACCTGAAACAGACAACACCCAGCCATCAGCCCACAGGCCCCAGCTTCCCGGAGGCTGTCCCCTGGAGCCTGTCCATCTCATGGCTACGGTCTCTCTCAGGACCCAGGACGGAGTCTGGAACCTCAACCCCAAGCTCTAGGGCTTGTGCTACCTTTGCTAGGACTTCCCAGAAGGCCAAGATCTGGTGGAGAATAGACCTGGAAGAACCACATGAATACGGGGATATACTCTGAATGTGCTCATTTCTCATTAAAATATCACTGCTGTGTTTTCTCAAATGGAAATGAGGTGATACTTTTTTTTTTCCCCCTTTTTCCTTCTTATCTGCTGCTGACTCTGCAAGGTGAGGAGTATGGCGGCTATAGGGGGAGAGCAATTACTATTCCCGAATCATTCCCTGTGTGCGTGCATGCTCAGTCATTCAGTTGTGTCTGACTCTTTGCAACCCCCTGGACTGTAGCCTACCAGGGCTCCTCTGTCCATGGAATTTTCCAGGCAAGAATACTGGAGTGGGTTGCTATTTCCTCCTCCAGGGGATCTTCCTGACCCAGGGATCGAACCCACATTTCCTGTGGCTCTGGTATTGCAGGTGGATTCTTTACCACTGAAGCCCCAAATCATTCCTTAATTATTCATAATTCTAAAGTACCCATTAAGAGAACATCAATTCCTGTTCCCCTCCTGATTAATTTATTTCTGCTATCTCTGGCCCAAAAGTGTCCCTTGGGGTCACCACCCCCAACAAGTTGTCAGCCTGATTCCTATCTGCCCACCTCCAATTCCCTGAGACAGTCTTCATCCCAGGTGACTCCCCTCTTCCCACTGGGTTTGTCCTTTCTTTCTCACCCACAATACTCTGACTGCTCTCACCTGGAGGGGCGCTGCACTGGGCTGGTTCAGATAGTTCAAGGAGGCTGCCCGCTTCATGTTGCTGCTACGATGGAAAAGAAAGAACTGAGGCCTCTTCTCTTCCCATGGGTGGCCCTGAAGCTTGGGAAGCTTGGGTATCACCACATATACTCATATCACTGCCTCCTCACCATCTGACCTCCCCACCACACACACACACACACAATCGTCTTCCTCAGTCCCCAGCATCTGCTCAGCTATTGTCCCCGCACCAGGGCACTATTTTTCCCACCCTCTCTCCATGGCCATCCTACTGACGTCCTCCATGTTTCTCTCCTGAGACACTTCTCCAGGGCCCTGCCTACTTTGCCAGATCTCAGTCTCAGCGCGTACCTGGAAGGCCGGGGCTCAGACCCCTGGAGTTTCCTCACCAGGAGTTCGCTGCTTCTACGAAGCACATCTCGGATCTTGCCCAGAGAGCCGCTCCTCTGCAGCGCCCCACTGCCATCCTGGCAGAGAGGGATGGGAAACAGAGGCTAAGGGGATCCCATGGAGATTGAGCTCTGAGTCTATTCCGGCCATTGATTCTGGACACCTCCCCCTTTTCCAGAAGCCCAGCCTGGTCAACAGCTGGCTTGCAGAGAGGCTCCCGAGAGGGATGGGCTAGCTGGATTCGGATAAGGACAAGGTGCCCTCCTATCCTGTGGGCTCAGAGCCTCTCGTCACCACCAGAAGGAGAAGCAGGAGAGTTCAAGGGGCGATAATCAGACTTACCCCTGACCACTCCACAGCCACCGAGGCATCATCACCTCCCTCAAACTTCACGCTGCCCCCCAGGCCCTCGTGGGGGGTCCTTCCACTGTCACCCTCCCCAAGCAGCTCGGCCACCTTGGTCTGGCTGATAGGGTCAGTGCCCTGGAAGGAAAAGAAGGAACCAGGACTTTCCACTTCTGAACTCTTCACGGTGGGACTTTAAACTTTTTCTCCCTACCAGCCACAACAAAAGAAAGAGTTTTCCTTGCGATTTCTGACTACACACATACTGGAAAGGAGACACTCACCTTTTCTATTTTCATTGTGTCAGAGATACACATCTATCTTTAGCCAAGGCCCACAATGAATTGATTTTAGGACCCAGTGAGTCAAGACTCCTGATTTGAGAAACTCTTGATTCAGAGCTTCTCTCAACTGCAGCCTCTTCACCCACAGTGCCCAAGCCCCTCCTCACAAGATTCTTCACATTGTCAAAAGGCAGTCTTTCCCTGTTAATAGTTCCATTTAGTGAAGTGAACCTTGAACTTGGAGTCCTAACCACAAAGGGCAGGTGAGGGGTAAGAACACACTTAAAAACAGCCACAACCACAAGAGTGTCTCACCAGCCTCTCCCGTCTTCCTCCTCAGCCTCTCCGCTTACTCTTCAGTGACTCACAAGCAGCCTCAGTGGCCCCGCTCGTGCCCCCTGGGCCCTGCCTCCGGACCTCCTTCCCCTCCTGGTCCCTGACCTGTTTCCGGGAGCGCAGGGCACATTCCTCCAGGGTCTCAGCTGCCTCCAGCTTTCCCTGGCGCCTGTACAGAGCTCCGAGGTTCCTCAAGGTCGTGTTCACTGTGGGGCTGCGGCAGGGGGAGACCAAGGAAGGAAGAGAAGATGGACTCAGGAAGCAAGCAGGAGAGAAAGGAAGCAGGGCCAAGGCTGAGGGGAGGAAGGGAAGCCAAGGCTTCCCGGGGAAGGGCCAGGAGGGGGGATCTGGGGTCGATGGAGCGTGTCGGAGCCCACACGCCCATGCCGGCTTCTCACCTGCTCACTTTGCAGGCCTTGTACCAGCCTCCATACTCGACGTAGGGTGTGCTGCCCTCGCGGTGCCGGCTCTGCAGGAGGACAGAGGGGGAGGGAAAGCCAGAGGTGAATGTACAGAGATGCTGGGTACAAGCTGGCAGAGGGCTGGGGTGCAGGCTGGGTGTGGGAAGGCGCCATGAAGCTAGGGCTGGTGCAGGAATAAGTCAGAGGCCCCGAGAGTCCCCAGCTCCTCAGGCTGGGCCCCTAACTCACTTTGCTCATTTCTTCCCGCTCCTCTGCATGCATCCAGATGGGCTTGTGGTCATCTAGGGGTGATATACGGGATGGGGTGGCAAGGTTAGAGAACAGAGCTGGAACTAAGGGGGAGCCAGGACCCAGAGGCCAGTAGCGCTGGACTAAAGGGGTCTGGCTCCCCGGGAACCACTGTGGCCAACCCTCCCCCAACCAGTCTTTGGTCTGCATTTCCTTTCTTCCCTGCAGCGCCCCACCCAGGCCCTCACCACTCACCATCCACAGAGCCAAACTCCTGCACATGGGCACGCGTCAGGATCTCCTTGTAGAGAGTCTCCGCTTCAGCATACTTGCCTTGTTTCAGGTAACAGGAAGCCTGGGGGCGGGAAGGCAAGAACATGGGAGCAAGAGGTAGAGATGAACTCTCAGCCAGGCCTGGCATTTCTACTTCTTGGTCTCTTTAGGACTTTCCCCAGAGATCTTCCTCACCCACTCCTTGTCCAGCTGCAGGGTCCAGGGTGTTCCCACTCCACTCCAGAGAGGCTACGGAACTTCTGCCTTCCCACGGGAAGGGAGCAGACCCCTCAGTACCCACAGGCAGCCCCCGGGCTGGGCACAAAGAGAAATGAGGCCCGTGTACCAGACTACGGTGCACCCCCTGCCCTCCTCCCACTGCCTCTGCCCCTCCCTCCCTTACCAGATTGTTCTTGGTCCGGGCTACGTTAGGGTTGTCCGGCCCCAGCTGCCCCTCATAGATGGCCAGAGCCCGCCGGTAATAGCGTTCCACAGCCTCATACTTGCCCTGGTTTTGGCACAACAGGGCCAGGTTGTTCAGCTGCTTTGCCACATCCGGGTGGTTGGTACCCAGGACCTGGAGTGGTGCAAAGGAGAGACAGATGGCTGTGACTATGCGTGTGTGTGTGTGTATGTGTGCGCGCGCACGCACCCATGCAGGGAGCAGGGGAAGGGAAAGAAGGAACAGGGAACGGAGAGACGGAGGGTGAGTCAAAAAGAAGTGAAGGGAAAAGGCTGGATCAGAAGAGAGACGGGGGAGGAGGGTTCACCACAACAGGGAAGAACGGGCGGAGGGCAGAGGCACCTTTTCTCGAATCTCCAGCGCCCGCTGGCACAGCGGCTCCGCCTCCTTGTATTTGCCCCTCTTCCCATAGAGCACAGCCAGGTTGTTGAGTGTGGCCGCCACCTAGGAAGACAGACCTGTCCCCATCAGACAAAGGGCCTGGAACAGCAGGGCCCCATGCTGCCCAACTTCCAGACAAATGGACTCTGCCACCTGAGCCACAGGTGCTTGCGGGGAGAGGAAAGTGCTGACCCCCCAAGGCTCTGAGGCTCTCCACGGGGGTGGTCTCACCCTCTAAGGAGATTTTTAGACATTTCTGGAGGCGGGGTTTCCTTCGGTTGCCATAAAGACTATGGGCACTAATACCTTTGGGGGAGCAAGTATGCTACAGATGTGGTGTCTATATGGGACAGCTCAGGCAACTTTTGACTGTCCTGCCAGACACTCAAACACTAAATATAAGCTTTGACACTTGGTGGGATATCAAGACAGAAGTTATGTTTCCTGAGACACATCATCCTTGCCTATCACATGTCATAACACAGGGAATTCTTTTCCAGCCAGCTCATTTTCAAAAATACCTTATTTCTCGTCTTCTCCCCTTTGACACATCTAGCATTTGTTTTACATGCTGACCCTACTTAAAGTTATTTCTCTTTCTCTTATCACAAAGAAATCTGGTCTATTATTACTTAATCTAACACTGGATTTTAATCTTATATATGCCAATATTTCTGCTCTGTCATTTTTAACTTTAAAGTTTTATTTATTATTATTGTTGACATTACTATTATTATTACCTTGGGTGTACCATGCAGTTTGTGCGGTCTTAGTTCCCTGAATAAGGATTGAACCCAGGCCCTTGGCAGTGAAAGCATGGAGTCCTAACCACTGGACCACCAGGGAACTCCTGCTCTGTCCTTTTCCTAGTACATCAGTTCAGTTCAGTTCAGCCACTCAGTCATGTCTGACTCTTTGTGACACCATGGACTGCAGCATACCAGACTTCCTTGTCCATCACCAACTCCCAGAGCTTGCTCAAACTCATGTCCATCGAGTCGATGATGCCATCCAACCATCTCATCCTCTGTCATTCCCTTCTCCTCCTGCCTTCAATCTTTCCCAGCATCAGGGTCTTTTCCAATGATTCAGTTCTTCTCATCAGGTGGCCAAAGTATTGGAGTTTCAGCTTTAGCATCAGTTCTTCCAATGAATATTTAGGACTAATTTCCTTTAGGATTGACTGGTTGAATCTCCTTGCAGTCCAAGGGACTCTCAAGAGTCTTCAACACAACAGTTCAAAAGCATCAATTCCAAAAAAGCATCAATTCCTCAGCACTCAGTTTTCTTGACATTCCAACTCTCACATCCATACATGACTACTAGAAAAACCATAGCTTTGACTAGACAGACCTTTGTTGGCAAACTAATGTCTCTATTTTTTAATATGCTGTCTAGGTTGGTCATAGTTTTTCTTCCAAGGAGCAAGCATCTTTTAATTTCATGGCTGCAGTCACCATCTTCAGTGATTTTGCAGTCCAAGAAAATAAAGTCTCTCACTTTTTCCATTGTTTCCCCATCTATTTGCCATGAAGTGATGGGACCAGATGCCATGATCATTGTTTTTTGAATGTTGAGTTTTAAGACAGTTTTTTCACTCTCCTCTTTCACTTTCAAGAGGCTCTTTAGTTCTTCTTCGCTTTCTGCCATAAGGGTGGTGTCATCTGCATATTTGAGGTTATTGATATTTCTCCCGGTAATCTTTTGATTCCATCCAGCCCAGCATTTTGCATGATGTACTCTGCATAGAAGTTAAATAAGCAGGGTGACAATATACAGCCTTGATGTAATCCTTTCCCAATTCAGAACCAGTCCGTTGTTCCATGTCCGGTTCTAACTGTTGCTTCTTGACCTGCATACAGATTTCTCAGGAGGCAGGTAAGGTGGTATGGTTTTCCCATCTCTTGAAGAATTTTCCATAGTTTGTTCTGATCCACACAGTCAAAAGCTTTGGCATGGTTACTAAAGCAGAAGTAGATATTTTTCTGGAACTCTCTTGCTTTTTCTATGATCCAATGGATGTTGGTAATTTGATTTCTGGTTCCTCTGCCTCTTCTAAATCCAGCTTGAACATCTAGAAGTTCTCGGTTCACGTACTGTTGAAGCCTGACTTGGAGAATTTTGAGCATTATTTGCTAGCGTGTGAGATGAGAGCAATTATGCAGTATTCTGAACATTCTTTGACATTGCCTTCCTTTGGGATTGGAATGAAAACTGACCTTTTCCAGTCCTGCGGTCACTGCTGAGTTTTCCAAATTTGCTGACATATTGAGTGCAGCACTTTAACAGCATCATCTCTTAGGATTTGAAGTAGCTCAACTGGAATTCCATCATCTCCACTAGCTTTGTTCACAGTGATGCTTCCTAAGGCCCACTTGACTTCACATTCCTAGTACATACTTTTACATAAAAAGACTTACTAGTTTTACTTCTTCTACATCTAAAGGGCTTCTCTTGTGGCTCAGCTGGTAAAGAAGCCACCTGCAATGCGGGAGACCTGGGTTCGATCCCAGGGTTGGGAAGATACCCTGGAGAAGGGAACGGCTACCCACTCCAGTATTCTGGCCTGGAGAATTCCATGGACTGCATATGCCATGGGATCACAAAGAGTCAGACATGACTGAGTGACTTTCACATCTAAATTTTTTCACTCATTGTATATTAGACTATGACGTCTTCTAACATTGCTGCACTCAACACAACTGTTACTGTGTTTTCGCTTCACTGTCAAGTATTATATATCTTATTATAAGTTACTTTCCTTGTTTCTCTCTTATATTAATAGAGTATCATCCAACTTTTGAGGAAATTATACAGGTAGGTAGATTACATTATATGAGTTAAATTTCAGGAAAATATTCATTATAAGAAGGAGTCATCACAGGGAACTCAGCTGTGTATTCTGTGATGACCTAAAGGGGTGGGGAGGAGCCTCAAGAGGGAGGGGGACATATGTGTACATATGGCTGATTCATGCCTTTGTACAGCAGAAACTAACACGACACTGTAAAGCAACTATACTGCAACTAAAATTTGTTTAAAAAAGAAGATATTGGGTCTGAGAGAGCTGAGAACCACTGGGATGGGTGGACAGTAGGAGAAAGGAGTCCTCATGCCTCCCTCCTGAGAACCCCTGGGAGTGGGCTGAGGGCAGCAGACGGACAAGCAGAGGAAGACAGGGCAAGGAGGGCAAGGAGTACTGACGGCAGGGTGGTCCCGGCCCAGGGTGCTCTCCCGGATGCTGAGGGCGTCATTGAGCAGGAGGGCCGCTTCCTTGTACTTATTCTGGTCCCTGTAAGAGGACAAAAGCGACAAGGGGTTAGCCCAAACTCTGCCCCTGAGCCATCTCCTTGCTTCCTTCCCTTCGGGATAGCTAAGGCACATTTAGGGACTGGGCCCTGCCATGAGGAGACAGGAAGCCTGGTGGGAGCAGTGAGAGGGGTTCACCGCCACCCCCAGAGAGTGGCCATGCCCAGAGCAGGCCAAAGGCACAGGACACAGGAGACAGAAACAGAGAAAAAGACCCTCCCCAGAGGAGAGATGTGAGCAGCCAAAAGCCTGAGGGGCGAGGATTCTGAGGTCAAGGGCTCAGGTGGAAAAGCATGAGACAAGGAAGCCCCCTGGTGGGGGGGAGAAGAGGTACCCTGTGGAGAGGAGAAATGAAAGCCAGAGGCGGATCAAGGTGGGGCCACACCTGGAGGCAGGGTCCTGAGAGGAAGTAGCACTCACCGATACACCAGAGCCAGGATGTTGAGCATGGTGGCCACGTCGGGATGGCCGCGGCCAGATGTGCGCTCCAGGTCCTCCAGCGCCTGCTTGCAGAGCGGCACAGCCACCTCATAGCGACCCTGGGCTGCGTACTGGATCACCAGGTTGTGCAGTGTCCGCAACCTTGCCGGGATCTCATAGCCGCTGTGCTGGGCACCCTGGCCACGGGACACTACCCCCGTCGCAGAAGACGACAGAGACTCCCTCAGATGACACCCGCTCTCCCTCCGCTGCCCGCCCACCCCTCCCCACTCAAGTCTCTCTCCCTGCCTGTGACCAATCCCCACCAGGCTCCCTGCCTGCCGAAAGACCTGCCTCAACTGCTACTCTTTTCTTAAATTTTTATTGGCTGCACCACAACTTACAGGATCTTAGTTCCCCAGCCAGGGATCAAACCTAGGCCCACAGCAGTGAAAGCTCAGATTCCTAGGCACTGGACCGCCAGGGAAGTCCCTCAACTGCTACTCCTCTGCTCACCTCTTTGCCCATCACAATCCCATTTTTCACTCAGTCATGCATTCATTCAACAAACTACTCAATGGACTTCCCTGGTGGTACATTGGATGACGGTCTGGCTGCCAGTGCAAGAGACACGTGTTCAATCCCTGGTCTGAGAAGATTCCACATGCCACAGGGCAACTAAGTCCATGCCCCACAACAACTGAGCCCTCACTCTAAAGCCTGAGTGCTGCAACCACTGAAGACCATGTGCCTAAAGCCTGTGCTCAGCAGCAAGAGAAGCCACTGCAATGAGAAGTCCGTTGCAAGCACCACAACAAAGAGTAGCCCTGACTGGCCACAACTAGGGAAAGCCGGCACACAACGACAAAGACCCAGCACAATTAAAAAAAAAAAAAACTACTCAGAAATCCTGAGGAAGGGTCTGCACCAGAGATACAAAGATAAGAAAGACCTGGTCGTTTCCCTTGAGGAGCTCATGCTCTTCACTCCAGGGGCACTCTCCCAGTCTTGAGCGAGCTCCTTGCAAGACCCATGTCGTTCTCATCTCGGAATCCCTGGTGCCCAGCACAGTGCCTGGCATGGGCTACGTGCTTAGTAAATGTTGATGAATAAGGGGAAAGCTGAGGGAATCAAAGTGCTGGTCCCTAACCCATCTCCTGAGGCAGTGGAGAACCCATTCCTGGACGGTGACCATCCTTGTTCACCAGCCCCCTGCTGCCCCCACTTCACCCTCCAACTCCAGAGGCAGACTCACAGCCATTGCTGGGGTCCTCTTCCTCCTCGTTGGGGAAGAGGTCATCCAGGGAATCCTTGGAGCCATCACCTTCCTTCTCTTCCTGGAAGGGAAGCAGCAGCATGTCTGAGATGAGATAGCCCTGGCAGCCTCTTCAAGCCCCCTCTAAACCATGACATCATTGATAGGTGGGGTCTAGGACAAATCCCCTGTCACTGCCCCTGCCCCTGGGAAGGCCAGCATCTGTCCTGCCAAGCCTAGAGCTCTCTTGTTCATAAAAAGACAAAGATGGGGGTTTCTCTGGTAGTCCAGTGGTTAAGACTCCGAGCTTCTGCTGGAGGGGGGCGCAGGCTGATCCCTGGTTGGGGAACTAAAATCCTCCAAGCCATGCAGTGCAGCCAAAACCAAAACAACAACAACAACAAAAAAAAAAACCAAACAAACGAGATGCTTCAGCCAAAATCTCATGACTTTCCGTTCCTTCATATCCAGAGTTTCCTTCCTCAGTACCCTCACCGCCATCTCTTTCTCCCTCGACTCTGGTAATTATAGTCCTGCATTGATCCCCATGTGTTTACACTGATTACATGTCTGTCCTGTCTCTCCTGCGGGCAGGGGTGTGTCCTATCTTATTGACACATACCCAGAGTGTCTAGCTCTGCCTGGTGTCCATCATCTGCCACCGCTTGCTCTGGACGAGATGCCCAGTTCTCACTGTCAATCTACTTTCACACTAGGCAAAAACGCTTTGCCCCAACAAGCACTGGAGCCTTGTACAAACACTTCCAACCCTCCTGCCTAGCTTCACCAGGGTGACCCACTGTCAAATCATCTCACTGTCCCTGGGTCAGGCCACCTTTCCAGCCCTGGTGCCTTATCTCACACACACACACACACACACACACACACACACACATCTTATCTAGAGAGCTCCCCCTTCTCCCTCATAGACCATCAAAATCCACCCCAATTCCTAATCCAGTTAAATAAAATAATCCAACCTAACTCTTACCCATCCCTGTACCCTGCCTCTGCTGTGAATCTTTCAGTCCGTCCCAGCTGCTACGAACCTATCTCCTTGGGATTCCTCCCATGCTGCCTGAACCTCTCCTTCAGCACTGGGCACTGGCTGATTTGTCTTGTCACATACGTGTTCTCACACGTAAGTCTTGTTCCTACAGCTACATTATAAGCTTGAGAAGGCAGGAACTCTGTTTTGTAGCTTCTTAGATCTACCTGACACACATCTTGCCTTGCCTAAGGCACAGAGAAATATAAATGCCTGTTGCGTGAAGGTTAAATTCCACACATTTCGACAGAAAATTTTAGAAGGACTTGCTCGACTGGGCTGGGTTTTCCCTACCTACAGCGCTTAGGATTCTAAATTGGAATTGTCCAAATGCCAAAAATCTATTATCATGGGAGCAGGAACTTTGTCCCGTTCACTGTTGCACCCCCAGCAGAGTGCGCCTGACACATAGCAGTCATTGAATCAAATGTTGACTGAACGAGTGACTGGCTTCTCCCTTGCTGTCCTCTGGAGTTGGTGTCAGGACCTGAATTCTGCCAGGTAGGGGCCGGTCGGGCAGGGCTGCTGGTCCTCCAGAGGATGCAGCAGCCACTGGCCTGTGCGTGTGGCGAGCCCAGCTGCCCCAAGCATGCTCACCGCAGCGTGTCCATCCTCGTCGTACTGCCGCAGCTGCCCCAGAAACTCCAGGTGCTTCTTCTCCTCCTCCAGCTGAGCCACGGCCTGTTCGCTGCGCTGGAGCCGCTGCTGGGTGCCGGCCAGCTCGTCCCGGAGCCACTGGTTCTCCTGGCAGAGCCGCCGGACCTGTGCCCGCAGCTTCTGTTTCTCCGACTCCACTGTGCTCAGGTGGTTGGCCAAAGCCAGCATCACCTAGGTGGGCACATCCTGTGAGCACTGGGCTCCAGCTAGGAGAGTTGAGGGGTAGGCAGGAGGGGAGCCGGCAAGACCCGGAGGTAGGGTGGGGTAGTGATGAGTCTACCTTCCAAATATACCCTGAATCAAATTTCTCACCACTTCCAGGGCCAGCCTGGGCCAAGTCACTATCAATTCCCACCTGGATTACGGTAATTGTCTCCTCACTGGTCTCCTTCTTTCTGCCCCTGTTCCCCTAGAGTCTGTTCTCAACCCTGCAGCCAGATGACAATCTTTTCAAAATATTAGACCACATCACTCCTCTGGTCACCACTTCCAATAGCTTCCATCTCACTCAAAGTAAAAGCCGAGTCCTTATGATGGCCTACAGTTCCACGTGATCTGCCCCCACCCCAGCTGCCTCTTCATTTTCTATTTTGCTTCCCCATATTCACAGTCCTGCAGCCACGCGGGCCTTTCACTGAACTCACAGGAAAGGCTCCAGGTTGAGGCCTTCGCACAGTACTTCGGATGTTCTTCCCCCATTTATTGTGTGACTCATTCCCTTGTCTTCAATTCTTTGCTCAAATGAGACCTTTTCAGTGAGGCTCCTATTGGCCTCCCTATCTAAAACTGCATCCTCTCCCCATACACCCCAACCCCCTTCCTTGCTTGATTTTTATCCTTTTGCCCTTAATGATTTATTTGGCATACTGAGTCATTTATTTATTTGTCTAAAGCCTGCCTCTCCCAGCTAGAATGTAAGCTCCCAGACGGCCAAGACTTATGGCTGTTCTTGTTCATTGACGTGTCTGGGAAGTAGTGTCTGGCACGTGGCAGAGACTTAATACATACTTATCGGGTGAATGAATCCAAGCTGCTAGGACAAGGGGATCCCAAATGACCCCAAAGCTCCCATGAGACAACTGCTCCTCCATCTACCCAGGGCCACTTGGCACCACCTCCTCCCGCTCACCTGGGCTTCACTCAGCCCCAGCTCGATGTTTTCCATGGAACGGCGCAGCTGCCGGGCCTTCTCATGCACCAGGCCTTCTTCATGGCCGCCCTGCTGCAGACACTCGATGGTCTGGGAGAGGCTTTGCAGCACAGCCTGGTGTTCACTGTGGAGGGCTTCCAGCCCCTGGCTCACCAGACGAGTGCTCCCCAGAATCTCCTCCTGGCTGAGCCGGTGCCCTGCAGGCTCATCCCGCTGTCCCAATACCAGGCCCGACATCCTGGCCGGGGGACCTTGCCTGGGCTACAGAGAAACAACAGAGTTCGGCTGGGGTAAAGATTAGGAAAGAGTGGCTGTGCGCCTTGATTAGAGGTTAGTAGGGATCCAAGTGAAGGGACAAGAGACCATTGCAGGGGTGGGGGTGGGGGTGGGGGGACCCTGAAGTTTAACTGGAGGGAGAGTGACCAGTGAGCAGACAGCCTGGAACGACACTAGACACAAAGCCAAGGTTGTGGGAAAAACAGAGGAGAGAAATTGACTTGAAAGAAGAAAAACTGTAGAAAGAACAAAGGTGCAGAGAAGTAGCAGAAGGATTTAGAATCAACACAATTTAAAAAAAAGGAGCTGGAGAAGAGAGAGTTTGGGTTAGGAAAAGGAATCAGGAAAGGAGACAGCACCACAGAAAACACAGAGGGTGTCCGACAGAGCTGCAAAGGGAATGGAGTTAAAAGCAGGCAGAAGCTATGCAGAAAATATTGCAGTGCAAAGAGGGGAAGAAATAAGTTTCAAAGTTAAATCAAGAAAGCGAGGGAGACAAAAAAGACTCGGCTTTCATCACAGATGAGAGGGGCCTAGAGGCTCAAGGTGTTCAGGCTGAGTCACTCGCGGGGCTAAGCCCAGCATCTCCATGCCTGGTCAGCTCTGTTTCTTCCAGGCTGTCTCCTACTTCCTCAAAAGGGCCTTGCTTCTCATCTTTGAAGTCTTCTTACCTGTATAGAGCCCTTGGTTGTGGTGTTCAGGCAGGAGCCCGGAAGAAACTCTGTTCAAGCAGCCAGGGACTCAGGAGGATCTGCCCTGCCCAAAGTCCAGAAGTCCAGCGTTCCCACCCCTTCCCTCACCACTTCACAGCCACCCAGAGGACCTGGCATGGAGCCCCACCCAGGACAAACGCCCTCCCTCCGTTGCCTACAGGTCTTCAAAGACGACCAACGTCCCTCCTCCTTCCCCAAGCCAACCTCCCAGGCCAAGCCTGGGGAACTATTTTCTCCCAAGAAGGGAGTGAGATTGAATCTGAGACCTGAGGCAAGGGGCGTGTCTGGGAACGGGGGAGAAGGAAGACCTGGTCACTCCTAGCCCAGTCACTTCTATGGCTTTGTGTCTATCACGACCACACACTAACAGACTCTGAGAGGAGTCACCTTAGGGTGCCTCCCAGAAGCCCGATGATGCTGGGAAGAATGGCAGGTCCGCTGAGCGGCTGCGGGATCGCAGGGAAATGCGGCGCTGGGAGTTGATCTCCCGGGCGGCCTGGGACTGCGGTGGAGAAGTGTCCCAGGCTGTCGACCTGCCCTGAGGCCCAGGGTGTGGATAGAGAGAAATGGGCCGGGGTGACGGCAGAAGATGCGGGTGGGCGACCGAGGTCCACGTCGCGAGCAAAGACCTGGGGCCTGACAATCCCGAGGTTACTGAGTCAGTCGGTAGCGCAGGGGGCGGGGCAGGCCGTCGGTCCGTCCGTCCGGATGTCGAGGGGCGGGAAGAATCGCGGGGGGCGGAGTTTTTGAGTCTGGCGTTCTGAGTTCAGTCAGAGGGGCTTATTTGTTCATATTTCCGGGAGTGCAGCAAAAAGGTAGCGGGACCTCAACTCTCAGCCCCAGAGGTACCCTCAAAGACTCACCCGCAGTCTGTTGGTCTGGCTGCCGCTCCTGCCGGTACTGCCCCTTTAAATCTATCATGGCTGCCGCTCGAGGCAATTGTTTTGACGGCTCCGAGGGGCGGGACCTGTTCCCTAGTCACGCGACCCAAGAGTCGCTCCGGGATTGGTTATACTATGCTCAGGGAAGAAAGGAGATCTGTGTCTAGCTTTTTGTCGGGTTCTCGGCCCGCCTCTTTTTACGTCCTGTTGGAGCGACGGCACGGGGACTTGTTAGCGTCATCCAGCAGCGCCAGGCGGCCAGGCTAAAGGTGATGGTGGAGTGCTGAGCACGCCCGAGTGTGGCCAAACTCATGGCCCTGCGGGCAGTGACCCGCGCTCTTGGCTCACTGAGCCTGACCCCCCGGATTGCCGCCATCCCTGGCCCAAGCCTGCTCCCAGCCTCCCAGGTAATCCATCTTACCCGGGAAGGTAGTTGTTTCCACTCCGGCTGCCGGAGAGGGGTCTCCAGGAGAATCGAGGTGGGAGATGAGAGTCTGATTAGGAGTCACATCGGCCCGTGACCCTTAATAAGACACTCAGCCTCAGCTTTCTTCTTTCTAAGTGTTGCTATCTCACAGGGTCACTGGAGTCCTCAAAGGAGATATTGAAGGTGAAAGTGACTTGTAGACAAAAGTACAAGTTTCAGTAACTTATATTTATTGTTTTCTTATAAGCCAAGCATAATAGACGTTTTAAATAAGAGAATTCCTTTCAACCAGTTACAGTTATTATCAGTCCCAGTTTACGTATGAGAATACATCAGTAGTCCAAGGTGATACACCAACCATTGGAGCTAGGCAGTCTGGCTTCAAAGCCCGGACTCTTAACCATTATAACCATTAAGGATGAGTTACTACTGAAATTACGGAATTAAGATCAAGATAACCGAGAGTTGGAGACTAACATGAAGATATCACAAAGTTCCTAATGAGTGTCAACTTAAAAAATGCATGGCATGAGAGTTGTTTTATTTGGGGAAATGTGAGGACTGCAGCCCAGGAGATAGCACCTCAGATAGCTCTGAGAAACTGCTCCAGAGAGGTAGAAGGGAAGGACAGTATGTATGTGATTTTGGTAAAGGGGGAGTGGGCTGCAATCAAGCACATTTTTAAAAAAATGTTTCTGCTGGTTTCGTGAACCTTCTGCTAGTCACGAGAAACAGTTGTTACCATGAAGAACTTTAGTGTTTTTCTCGATAAGAGGAGATAAAAAGAATTGGACTCATAAAAATCAGCTCCCGAGAATATCTAACTATCTGAAAATCTGTCGTGCCAGGTTTTTGGGAACCCAGGTGCCTCACTTCTGCTCTCCATCCTGAGCTCCATCAGGGGGTGTTGGAGGTCAGCAGCTACAGCAGCACATGATTTAATCCTTGTAGAGATAGATGGCAAGCACCCATGGCAAGTGCCAGTTTGTTGACATGGGTAACTAGTGATTACAGGAAAGTTAGTCTTACCCTCTCTGGACCTTTCAGACTGATGGTAGAGTTCGGCAGTTGTGTACTTCAAATTCAAAACCAAACCAACCTACTGTGTGAAATGCTGAGAAAACAGCAGGGAACAAGACATAAGTGATCTCTCCCTTCCATTCATGTTTGGAAAATTCTCAGAAACATGCAGCAAAAGGGGTAGAAGGCATTGGTGCTGATGGTGGTACATAGATATATAGGAATTAACCAGCACTGGAGAAGGTAGTTGTTTAAGGAAGGAAAAGTTTCTTAGAGGAGAGTTTTGAGGCAAATTTGGAAGAAGATGCACCAAGGGGAGAAAATTCCATTGAAGAAATACTTCAGAGGTGAGAGGATCAGATGAAGAGAGGTGATCAACACACATGCACCTAGATAAGCATTCTGAACTGGTATTTGTGCAGGCTGTGAAGGGTGGACTTTGGGGGTAGCTAGTCTGGGACGTTTCCAGGAGGAAGGAAGCCACAAGCTAAACTTTGTGCCCTCTCCCTTGGTTCTCTGAGGCTTCTCCTTCAATTAGCTTTCAAGTGAAAAAGATTTCTGTTTATTTCTAGGTGACAAACAATGTCCTCCTTCAGCTGCCCTCTGCGTCGATGTTGCTTCCCTGCCGCCCAGTCCTTACCTCTGTGTCCCTTAGTGCTAAGTTTGTGTCCTGGAAGAGTCGTACGAAATATACCACTATGCCAGTAAAGATGAGGAAGTCTGGGGGCCGAAACCACACAGGTAAGAACAAGGGCAAGAAGATTTCAGCAGTAAAGAGCAAAAACATGGTAGGACCCTTGGCCTGTATTTTGATACAGGCAGAGGAATGTAATTAAAAAACATTTATTGGACTCCTTTTATGCATGTAGTATGTAAGAGTGAGAGAACAGAATATAAAACAACATAAATAGCCTGTGTTCCTAAAGATAGATAATGGAAGAAAACTGGACATACTCAGGAAGTTCCATGACATTTTCCTGCACACCCTTCAAAAATTATTTTTGGCTGTACTGGCTCTTTGTTGCTGCTCAGGATTTCTCTCTACTTGTGGCAAGCTGGGGCTACTTGCCTTCTCTTGTGGAGCACCGGCTCTAGGGTGCTCAAGCGTCAGTAGTTGAAGCATGTGGGCTCAACACTTGCAGCTCCCAGGCACTAGAGCACAGGCTCAAGTTGTGTCACACAGGCTTAGTTGCCCTATAGCATGTGGCATCGTCCCAGACCAGGGTTCAAACCTCTGTCTCCTGCATTGGCAGGCAGCTTCTTTACCACTGAGCCAGCAGGGAAGCACCCCCTGTAATTGTGTTTTTACGAAGTTCCATGTGGGTGTTCACTCCCACTTATCCCATTGTGCTATGCAAATTTTCATCATTTTTCTGCTTGTGTCGTAATGTTGGGAAAGTACTGCCCTCTGCCTAGGATGTGTCTGTTCCCAGTGCTGGGAACTGACTCATCTGACCCAATCATGATCCTGTGCTATCCTGACCACAGGCCGTATCCAGGTGCATGGTATTGGCGGGGGCCACAAGCAGCGTTATCGAATGATTGACTTTCTGCGGTTCCGGCCGGAGCAGGAATCCAAGCCAGGACCCTTTGAGGAGAAGGTCCTCTCTGTCCGCTATGATCCCTGTAGGCAAGTTTGGGATGTGAAGTGGTGGTGTGGCTGGCTGAGTGGTCTGTGGCTTTTCAGGAGATGTGAAGCTGCCTAGGTGGTTTGCTTACCTGTCCCTCACTCTGCACAGGTCAGCAGACATAGCTCTGGTTGCTGGGGGCAACCGGAAACGCTGGATCATTGCCACAGAAAACATGAAGGCTGGAGATACCATCTTGAACTCGGACCACATAGGCCGAATGGCAGGTGAGTGATGGCCACCAGGTGTGCGTGGGCTGAGAGGCTCAAGGGCGCTGGTGCTGACGAAATTCTGTCTTTTAGTTGCTGCTCGGGAAGGGGACGCCCATCCTCTTGGGGCCTTGCCAGTGGGGACCCTCATCAACAACGTGGAGAGTGAGCCAGGCCGTGGGGCCCAGTATATCCGAGCCGCAGGTAGGAAGAAAGGAACTTGTTGAGATCTTACAGTTTGAAAGGCCAGGGGGTACTTGAGGTTGCAGCTCTCTGAACCCATGGGCCCACATCTTGTCCAGTGGCAGAGAAAAAAGAGGAAAAAACAAGGCTGAAGAGGTGGTTGTGTTTTTGACCTAAAACCACACATGCCTCCTGCTTTCAGTGTTTCTGCCCCTCAAAGGGAAAGCAAGGGCAGTGTGTGGGGTGGTGGCCCTGGAAAATCTGCCCCCACCTCCTGCTCTGTGGAGGGTCGCAACTGTTTCTTCCCTTCCCCAGGGACCTGTGGCGTGCTGCTACGGAAGGTGAACGGGACAGCCATTATCCAGCTACCCTCTAAGAGGCAGATGCAGGTGTGTGGTGGGTTGCGGGGGGAGTGCAGGTGGGAGGGGTCAGTACAGGAGGAATTTTTGGAATGTACCTTACCTGTCCAGGATAGCTCCCAGGTGTTTTATGTTGGGAAGTGCCTGGAGGTAGGTCTGTCCTTTTCTGCCATGTGACCAGGAGTGCCTCATCAGGCTGGCAGTAGGGAACAGTGCCTTTCATTCTCAACTACTGTTAGACCTGCATTCGGGTTCAGTTATGTTGTACTTTTCCCGTATCTTCTCCCCTTCTCTCTTTGAGTTTGAGAAGTTCCCCAGGGTCCCTGCCCTCAACATGTCAGGCTGTTTCCCCCCATGGTGCATTCCCCTCCATTTGCTCTCTCCATCAGGTGCTGGAGACGTGCACAGCCACAGTGGGCCGAGTCTCCAACGTTGATCACAACAAACGGGTCATCGGCAAGGCTGGGCGGAACCGCTGGCTGGGAAAGAGGCCGAACAGTGGGCTGTGGCACCGCAAGGGGGGCTGGGCAGGCCGAAAGATCCGGCCGCTGCCCCCCATGAAGAGTTACGTGAAGCTGCCCTCAGCTGCTGCCCAAAGCTGATATTCCTGGACTCTAATAAAATGGCCCCCATTCTTTTTTAAATCTATTTCTGGTTTTTCTGGGGAGGATGGTACATTGCTGGACAGGTGTTGGAGGGGACGGAAGTAAACAACCGTTGGGGGAGGAGAAAGGAAAATATGGGGTGACAACTGGGGCTGTGTCCCCCCCCTCCCCCCGCCCCCCCGTCTCACTTCTAGCCGCCCCGTGGCCTCGATCCCTCTATACGTCACGGAGGGGGAGTAAATGACCTCCAAAGTTGTCTCCAGGTCTGACTTTGGTTAGGGGGCAGGTACTTCCGGTGGTAGGAGGAGGGGGACCAAAAGGAAGAGGAAAGGGCGGCGCCGGAGAGGAGGCGCCGTGCGTCGCCGAGGTGGCACCGGCGGCTCCGCCCCGGCGCTCCCCTGGGGCCCCCAGTGTTCCGCCGGGCTGGGCGGGGCGGAAATGAGCGGCGGCTCGGAGCGGGCGGGCGGCGGGGCTCCCAGAGGCTGGCGGGCGGCGCCGCGGGTGGGGGACGGGCCCCGCCCTGCCGGGCCCGGGAGGCCGCGGATCTGCGCGCGGGCGGGGCGCTGACGGCCCCCCGGGCGCTCGGGCCCGCGCGCCACGCCCCCTGCGGCCTCCAGGCCTGCGGAGACACGCCCCCTCCCGCCTCTCCGCCTCGACCCCTTCGGGGGGCCCAGGCGGAGCCCAAATCTCCGCCGGCGCCGCCGCCATCGTCTGTGCCGCGTTCCTAGCTCGGCGAAGGACAGGCCACGCGCTGGGACCCCCATCGACTTCTGAGGTGGCCCGAGCCCCGCCGCGGCCCCCCGCCCCGAGCCCGGGTTTTCTTCCGCCCACTCACCCCCAGCCCCCCACCCCCGGGCTTCGAGTCCCCTATCCCGCCGCGCCTCGGGATTCTCGTTTCTCTGGCCTGGCCCCCTCCCCCCTCCCTCCCCATACCTTGCCGCGCGCCCCTGGCTGCTTCGGCCTTCCATCCTGGTCCCCCAAACCGCGCGCCCCTCACCCACCAGGTCTCCTGTGCACACTGTTCGGGTCCTCACGTCGCCCCACCAACCCTGATGCTCCAATGCCTCCAGCCTTGGGTGCTTTCAGCCCACCAGCCCCTCCTCCCAGCCCGTCGGGCCCTGCGCTTTTGCTCCATCACCAGATCTCGGGGTCTCTTGTTCCTGCAGACTCTCGTGCTTCAACCATTAGAGCTACTACCACCCCTTTGCATACACACTCTGTTCTCAATCCTCAACACCCCAAAACACACATCCCTCTGGGCACCACGTACCCCCTTCCCAGGTCTAATGCAGCCTGTCCGAGGGCCCTGGGATTCACTTTAATTCCAAGGCTTCCCTGCCCCCACTGTCCCCTCCCCACTGCTCCAAATGAGCTCCCTCCATGCTGCATGCCGGGCCTTGGACTTGCCTTTTAGCCCGCCAATTTTGAGTTCTTTCAGAACAAACTCCCCGGTATTCCTCTGCTTAGGCCTGGCCCCACCCAGCTTAGAGCAGGCAACTCCTGGACCCTGTTTCACCCCACCCAACAGCCTGACAGCTGTTGCCACATTTGCTGTCCCAACTCCTGGATGTCCTTGATTTTCTGACCTCTCAACTCTAGCTTGCCTGTTCTCCTTCCCTTGTGTTGCCAGGTGCCAAGATGGTAGGGGAACTCCGTTACAGGGAATTCAGGGTGCCCCTGGGGCCCGGCTTGCACGCTTATCCGGACGAGCTGATCCGCCAGCGAGTGGGCCATGATGGGCATCCTGAGTACCAGATCCGCTGGCTCATCCTCCGGCGTGGGGATGATGGGGAAGGGGGCTCCAACCACGTGGACTGCAAGGCTGAGCACATCCTGCTGTGGATGTCCAATGACGAAATCTATGCCAACTGCCACAAGATGCTGGGCGAGGACGGCCAGGTCATCGGGCCCTCCCAGGAGACAGCAGGGGAGGCTGGAGCGCTGGACAAATCCGTGCTGGGGGAGATGGAAACTGACGTGAAGTCTCTGATTCAGAGGGCCCTTCGGCAGCTGGAGGAATGTGTGGGCACCGTTCCTCCTGCTCCTCTGCTTCACACTGTCCACGTGCTCAGTGCCTACGCCAGCATTGAGCCCCTCACTGGGGTCTTCAAAGACCCAAGGGTCCTGGACTTGCTCATGCACATGCTCAGCAGTCCTGATTATCAGATTCGCTGGAGCGCAGGCCGGATGATTCAAGCCCTGGCCTCCCATGATGCTGGTGAGGGGCAGCATGGAGAGGAAAGGGGAGCTGGAGAGGGGCTGGGTCAGCTTAACACCTCACAGGGCCCTATGATAGGCACTTCTGATCTCAGCAGTATGTAAATGATTCTGTGACCCTTCCCTTCGCATTGGAGAAAGGGAGGTGGGAAGGTGAGTGCGGGCATCTCTGCAGAAAGGGAAGACTGAATCTTCAAGAACCTCCTGTTGACTGTTTTCCTAGGTGGAGGAAGAGTTTAGACTTAAACTTTTGCAGATGAGGCAGTAATAAGGTAGAATAATATGGTAAGCTTTGGCTTTTGAAGCAAATCAGCAAATCATGTCCTTCTGCTGTGTGACAGCAAAGTGAGTGAACTAAGAGTGGAGGGTCCACAAGAGGGGTCTGGGGAGGATGAGGTTAGGAGCTGTTACTGATTGGAATGTGGGTTCCAGGGACCCGGACCCAGATCCTTTTCTCACTAAGCCAGCAAGAGGCCATTGAGAAACACCTGGATTTCGACAGCCGCTGTGCTCTGCTGGCACTGTTTGCCCAGGCCACGCTCTCTGAACACCCGATGTCTTTTGAGGGCATTCAGCTGCCACAGGTATTCTGTGGGGAGTGTTGGGAGGGAGCTGTGGACAAAACCTGGGGGCCAGGCCTTTGCACCTGTCCTCAGAGGACAGTGTGGAGAGAAAGCTGGAACAAGGTAAATGTAGACCAAAGTTTGTGTCCTGCAGGTCCCAGGAAGGCTGCTCTTCTCCCTGGTGAAGCACTATTTGCATGTCACCTTCCTCCTGGATCAGTTGAATGACACTGCTGCAGAACCGGGAGCCCCGAACTCCACTCCTGAGGAGCTGAGTGGGGAGAGGGGTCGCCTGGAGCTGGAGTTCAGCATGGCCATGGGCACGCTGATCTCAGAGCTGGTGCAGGCCATGCGCTGGGACCAGGCCTGGAGCAGACAGGGGCTCTCGGGACAGCCCTCCGGTTCCATCTTCCAGCCCCAGCTGGTGGATGAGGGCCCAGGGCTCCCACCTGCCCAGGCCTTGCCTTCCCGCAGGAGGTCAAGGAGGTTTCGACCTCGCTCTGAGTTCGCAAGTGGCAATACCTATGCCTTGTATGTGCGGGATGCGCTGCAGCCAGGCATGCGAGTGCGGATGCTGGATGACTATGAGGAGATCAGCGCGGGGGACGAGGGCGAGTTCCGGCAGAGCAACAACGGCATGCCCCCTGTGCAGGTGAGCAGGGCCACCGCCGGGGGTCTGCGTGGGGCAGATCTGGAGCATCATGCTTCATGCTGGGGACTCCAGCATGCTACTCAAAGCGAAAACCCTCAGTAAGCTTGGGATGGTAAAAGGGGGTCAGTGACAGAAAGGAGCCATTGGAAGGCTGAGAAAATCTGTAGAAGACCCTGAGGTCAGGGAGACTCACTCCCACGAAGAACCTGGTAACAATGAGACCGTTCCGAAGGTCAAGTTCAACAAGGCAGTGTGGTTAAGGCCAGGAGGAAGTATAGGGGCATAAGCCACCAAGAATAGGGACTTCCCTGGTGGTCCAGTGGCTGAGACTCCATGTTCACAATGCAGGGGGCCCCAGTTTGATCCCTGGTCTGGGAATTATATCCCACACCCTGCAACTAAGATGCCACATGCCGCAGTGAAGATAGAAGATCTCACATGCCGAAACTAAGACCCGGGGCAGCCAAATAAATAAATACTTTTAAAAAAGCCACCAAGGATAGGAGAAAAGAAAGATGTTCCCGTTTAGAGAAGGCATCCTTTATGTGCTCATGTGGGTTCTCCATATACCATGTGTTTCGCTCTTTGGAGGTTTTACCAAACCTGGCCAGGTGGTCACCCTGAAGGCTGTGTGTTCACATTCATCATGACATAGCCAGTCACTAAGTAAGCTCTTGGCCCCTTCCCTCTCGATTTTCCCCATTTCCCCCAGGTGCTGTGGGAGTCAACAGGCCGCACCTATTGGGTACACTGGCACATGCTGGAGATTCTGGGCTTTGAGGAAGACATCGAGGATGTGGTTGAGGCTGCTGATGAGTACCAGGGGGCAGCGGTCAGTGGAGCCATGGGTATAGGTGAGCCCAGAGAGGAAGCCAGAGGTCAGCTCGGAGCAGTGGTCCGGCAGGGGGCGGGCAGCGACATCTCTGTGCCCCGTGACCCATTTCCACAGCCCTGCCGTCCTGGCGCTGGAAGCCCATGACCGAGCTCTATGCTGTGCCCTACGTGTTGCCTGAAGACGAGGACGCTGAGGAGAGTGAACACCTGACCCAGGCCGAGTGGTGGGAGCTCCTCTTCTTCATCAAGAAGCTGGATGGCCCCGACCATCAGGAGGTTCTCCAGATCCTTCAGGAGAACCTGGATGGGGAGGTAGAGTCAGACTGTGTTAGGGGGTGTGGAAGGCTTGGGATGGGAAGCAGAGACCGACAGCGGAAGGGGCTTCTGGGGAGGGGTCTAGGATGTTTGGGGGGCGTTGATGAGCTGTTTGGGAGGAGCCTGCCATGAGAGGTTCGGGGTGGAGAAGGCACATGCAGAGAACCCTTCCCCTGGCAAGCGCCTCTGTAGGCATGTAGAGCCGCCTTCAGCGAGAGCGTCTCCCCCGATGGCAGGTTCTGGATGACGAGATCCTGGCTGAACTGGCCGTGCCCACAGAGTTGGCCCAAGACCTGCTGCTGGCTCTGCCACAGCGACTCGACGACAGTGCCCTCAGGGACCTGCTCAACTGCCGTGTCTACAGGAAGTACGGGCCCGAGGCCCTGGCAGGGCAGCCGGTCCACCCGTCCCTGCTGGAAGCCTGGGCCCAGCCTCAGGAATCAGCTGACGCAGCCAGAGTGGAAGGTGGGGTGCCACACGGACAGCAGCTCTGCATACTGGCCTCTCCAAGGGCGTTAGCCCAGGAGAGACGTCTGTACCGGTTTTGTGCAATCCTATCTTGAGACCAATGGCACCTTAGGAAGAGTCTGAAATGTTGAGATTAGCAGTGAATGGAGAAGCAGCGCTTGTGCTCCCTCCAAAGAATGAAGGATGTAAGGTTAGAACTTTGCAGGAGTTCCCTGGCGGTCCAGTGGTTAAGACTTGGCGCTTTCACTACAGCGGCCTAGGTTTAATCCCTGGTCGGGGAACTAAGATCCTACAAGGTGAGAGGCACAGCCAAACAGAACAAACAGCACAAGAGATTTGAAGCCCTGAAAGCCCTCACATTGAATGTTTTCTGCTGGAGGGAAAAACAGTTTATTGCATGCTTCTGGAAAATGCTCTCCTGTTTGCTCATAGGAAGCTCTTCTGCTTTATTTGGGGGGGGCGGGGCTCAGCTCGCAACATTTGAGATCTTAGTTCGCCGTCCAGAGACCAAACCCAGCCTTCTATAGTGGAAACACAGAGCTAGACTGCCGGGGAAGTCCCTCCCTTGCTATTTTAAGAAAACAAAATAAAAAGTTTGTCATGAAGCTGTCTTACAAGAACATTAAGAGCTCTGAGATCCCCAGAACCTAACTTTTAGGGGGGAAAAAAAATCAAAAACACTTTTAGGAGAAGAGAGGAAACGAGAGTTACGAATGTGTCTCTCCTTTTCTGACCCTTCCTGTCACTAACAGTGGCCAACTCCTGTGATTTCCCCTCTCCTGTAGCAAAGGAAGCCCCGACTCAGGGCTCCAACACGCCACTGCAGCGTCTGGCAGAGGGTTTCGGTCCAGCTGGGAAAATCTTCCTGGATCTGGAGGGAGCGTTCTGCTCAGAGGGGCCCCAGCAGGGAGAGGCCAAG